CTGTGTTTATTTTTAAAGAAATGAAGAAGGAAGAAGGAAGAAAGAGAAGAAAGAAGAAGATGAAGAGAAGAAGAAGAAGATGAATAAAGAAGAAGAAGAATTGAATAAGAAGATGATAGAAGAGAAGAAAGAAGAGATGAAGAAGAAGAAGGGAAAAGATGAATGTACAGAAGAAGAAGAAGACAAAATAAAAAGGAATGAGATAAGAGAAGACGAAGAAGAAGGATAAGAAGAAGATGAAGAAGAAGATGAAGATGAAGATGGAAAGAGAAGACTGAAGAGAGAAGAAGATCTAAGAACGAAGATGAAGAAGAAGAATGAAGAGACAGAATAGAGAAGAGATGAAGAAGAAGAAGATGAAGAAGAAGAAAAGATGAAGGAGGAGAAGATGGAAGAAAGAAGATGAAGAAGAAAGAGAGAAGAAGAAGAAGATGAAGAGAAGAAAAGGAAGATAGAAGGATGAAGAAGATGGGAAGGATAAGACAGAAGACTGCGAAGAAGATAAAGAAGAAGATGGAGGAGAAGAATAAGAAGAAGAAGAAGATGAAGAAGAAGAGAGAGATAAAAGAAGAAAGCTAAAGAAGAGATGAAAGAAGATGAAGAAGAAGATAGAAGAAGAAAGAAGATGAAGATGAAGAAGAAGAAGTGAAGAAGAAGAAAAAGTAGGACACATGATGAGCAAAGAAATGAAAACAACAATGAAATACCTTCAACAAGTGCAGATATGATCACAAAAGTTGCATCTCTTTTGTACGCTGAAGAAAGCTGATACACATAAACCTTCCATTAAATAGTGAGAATCAATAATGTGGCGATCAACAACATCACTTACCCATTCACCATTTTACAGAATGTTCGGTGAGCATCATTTGACCAAGCCATTCCCTCTCTTGGGTGGAGGTCAAAATCGAACAATGCAGAGCATATGGAGGTACATCAGCAACTTCAGCTGGCAGAGGCCTTAACCTACAATAAACAATTGAATTTTCATTTAGAATAAGTGGCATAAGATAAATCTTCATGCTACATTTCCTTAAATAAAGAACCTACCTGGAAAGTTTGCACACGATCACTCATTGCCATGAATCCACATAAAAAAACATCCACTATAGCATCTCGACTTTCTGGAGGATTGAGCATTGCTGTGAAGTCTTTCACCAGTAACTCTGTACCATTTATCATCTACCAGAAACTTGCAAATGTACATTTGGCCTAATAAAAAACTTGTTGAAAAATTAGAATTGAGAATGCATATGAGAAAACATATTTTTAATATTAAATAACACACCCAATTTACCATTTTTAATCCTCTGCAATTACTTCGGCACCAAGGTAATAGGGTTCAGGATGGGTATGTTGGATGGTAATAGTAATAGTACTAGTACTAGTGTTTCGCGTCGTCGCGTCGTCTCGAAGTAAACGTCTTCGTCGTGTCGTCGTCGTCGAAGTAAACGTCATCTCGTCGTCGTCGTCGTCGGAAGTAAACGTCTTCGTCAGTTCGTCGTCGTCGAAAGTAAACGTCTTCGTCGTCGTCGTCGTCGAAGTAAACGTCTTCGTCGTCGTTCGTCGTCGAAGTAAACGTCTTCGTCGCATCGTCGTCGTCGAAGTAAACGATCTCGTCGTCGTCGTCGGTCGAACGTAAACGTCTTCGTCGTCGTCGAAGTAAACGTCTTCGTCGGTCGTCGAAGTAAACGTCTTCGTCGTCGTCGAAGTAAAGCGTCTTCGTCGTCGTCGAAGTAACGTCTTCGTCGTCGTCGAGTAAACCGTCGTCGTCGTCGAAGTAGACGCCGCCGACTACGGCGTTGTAGTCATCGTAGTCGTAATAATAATAAGTAATAATAATAATAATAATAATAATAATAATAATAAATAATAATAATCATAATAATAAATAATAATCTAATCTGTGTTGCATTCTGCACTTAGTAAGTCACGTTTTAAAATGCGAAAATTGCTTAATTGCTTAATTGCTAACGTTGAAACAGTCAGCCCTATTGGTGCTGTGTTACGATTTGAAACCCTCTGCAAAATTCCATTTTATTTCTTATTATTCCATTATTTTAGTTTTATTTGTTTTTTAAGTTGAAAAAAACTTTAACTGAATCCATTTGGAAACGACTGACCTGGACTCTGTGCACATCATACATGTCTGTAATGCGAGTGGGTAATCACTGTACCACTGCTAAGAATTTATTAATAAATATTTATATCTGCTGAGATTAAATTGCACAGATTATCAACTATTTTAATTTAATTGTTACGCGGAATTTGATTTTTGCAAATTCTGTCCATCCATGATACAGAGCAGGAGAATCCAGAAGACTTCAACTTCCAAAATTTTATATGACTGTCCAAAAGTAGTTATGTCATTGTTACAGTCAATGTACACACGCTAGAGAATTTGATTATTGCACATTTATGATTCTGGTATAATCGTAGATAATACAGTTCATTATTTAAGTAGCGGGATGATTCCAAATTTGTCCTCTGATACAGAGAGGGAATCAGAAGCAACTCCAATTTATTATGTCAAAAGGATTAAGTCTGATACTACACCAGCAATTTGATTTGCACACTTGTGGGTCATAAATCGTAACATGGAGACTACCAGTTAGCACTATACTTAATCTAAACGCCCACTAACATTTTGTTTCATGTCCAAGGGAGTAATTCCTAACCCAATACCATGCTTTGGATTTTGGTGGCTGGAATAATAATAATAATAATACTAATAATAATAATAAAATAATAATAAATAATAATATGTCACATTGAAAGTACTGATGAAATATGATGTTATCTCATAAGACAACACCAGAAAGAGGTGAACGACTGAGACAAAAAATAATTAGTAGGAATATAGACATACCAATTTGTACCAAATTCAGTGGACGAAAA